AGGTGGTGGCTGTTCCCTTGCCCAGGTGTGTTGTGCTCCTCTTTCCCACCCACCTTAAAAATCACAGTAAAAAAAAAATTGTAATCACAAAATTTAATAGTGGAAATAAAGTAAATATTAAATATAAATAAATTTTATTACCTTCCACCTAGGGGACAACCAGGGACTCTCTCAAAGTTCGTATCCCTCATTCTTGGGCGAATACGAGGGATACGTTCATATGCCCAAACCTACACATATCGACATATTCATTTGTTATTAGATATTAGTCTAAATTAGAAAAAAAAAAAATTGAAATAACAAGCAAATTAATTTACCTGAATCAGTTGGACACAGTTCTTGATCCAGTTTTTCCCGGACTTGGCCCTCGTGCAGAGCGCTCTGTACACTCCGGCCAGGACCGCCGAACCCCAGCTGTACGTCTTGATCAGATTGATGTCGTGCAAAAGCTGCAACCAGTAGAGGTTCATTCCATTGCCCCTCTGGTCGGGGAAGAAGAAGGAACCGATGCACCAGAGTATAAGGGTCTTCGCCCTCGACTCGTAGGTGAAGTAATTCTCTCCATCGGTTAGTTGCCGGTTGCACTCCTCTTCCAAAGCATAGGCCTTCAAATACTGGCCTGTAATGGCCCAAGTCTTGGGGTCTTGAACCGGTTTGTCGGGATCCTGAGAGTGGTTTATATATATTAAAAATTAATGAATTGAGTAAACATTATAAATTAAAAAAAAATGTAATAAAAAATTTACCTGAACATAGGGCTCGAACCCTAGCTCATCATTACAAATTTCTTGCCATTCAAGGGGCGTCTTATCTTGAGTCGCTCCCCAACAAGGCTCTCCATCGATGGGGAGACCAAAAAGGACTTGTACGTCCTGCAGCGTGATGGTGGCCTCCCCGAAGTCAAAGTGGAAAGTATGCGTCTCCGGTCGCCACCTTTCCACTAGACACGTGACGAGGCTGTTGTCGGTCATGACTCTGCCCATTCGAAACAGCAGGCCAAACCCCGTCCTATCGGTGACATCCCAAACTCTGGGATGCTGGTGATCCAACGCCTTCCAGAACTGAGTGTCGAAACGGCGGGGTTTAATGACGCCGTCACGACATCCGCCTATATCTTCGAACAAATCACTCGACCGGTGACAGTATTGAAGATATAGAGCGGACGGATCCCTCGGACCGGGATGTACATTGAAGCGCTGCGGTTGTGAGGACGACGAAGATGCCATTGTCTGCCAAAAAAGAAAAATAATTAGTATGATATACTACATACTACAAAAAAAAACAATAATTAATCAAATTACCATAATACAATTATATTCATGATACGCGAGAAATCTTGTATTATTTTGGGGTTTAATTTATAATTGGAGTATTTGGTTTTAGCGTATTATACAAGTTTTATCGCGTATTTTATCTTGTGAACGGACATACACCAATAATCGGATTTTGTGTTTATTTTGCAGTATTTATGCAAATTAATGAAGTGGCAGTTAATCATGCATGAGAGTGGCGGCCAGTACTCTTTAATTGATGGCAATTGGAAAGTTGATTGGAAAAAGGACTCGTGAGAAAAGAAAGGAAGTTGAATGGCAATTGGACTCTCATTTGGGAACAACTTTACGTGGGCATAGGACAAATAGGAGAGCTATCTATTCTTTTTGTTCATTCGGAAGACTTTTGACGCAAAAACGGGGAGAAGGCTTTGGAGGTGACCATTAAGGAGTCCAAGGAATTTCTTTGCTGCTTGGAAGTCAATTAGCCGTGGAGCATCTCATTTAGAGGAGTTTGGCTTTGATTTATATATTTTATTTTTCCTTTATTTTAATTTCAGAACATGGTTAATTATTTTTGCTTTTATTATTTAGCTATGTGTAGCTAAACACTTATTTCGGTTCTAGGGACGTTGAACCCTCGATGACTATGTTTGATTAATGCTATTTATTTTGTTTTACTCGTCGTATAAAGTTGATTGTGTTATTCTATTTTCATGTCATAATATGTGATTTTTAATTTAGCTTGATCACCTAAGTTAGGAATTGTATGTTAATTGCTAGATTTGAGGCTTCGATCCGTAATTGTCGTCGTTCTTATTTCGTTTGTAGCAACTAACAGGCGTGCATTGTTAGGGATAGCACAACATAAGTTACATGAACCGAGCTTATGTGTTTGTGGCTTAGATCGGTCTATTTTCCTAGATTTTAATGCGGCTAGTGGGTTAAATTAGGAGAGCTTATTCCGAGTTATTCGCTAGTTAGAATTAATTGAAGAGCCTATTTCGATTAAGTATAAATTAAGGGAAAATTCGGGTAGCAGAGCTTATTGCTATCTAGGACCGGTAGTTTTAGAAGACGAGTGAAATTTGGTAAAAGCATTAATTGGGCTAGTTATTCGAGGGTGTAGACCGACCTGGAACCGATTCCATTCTCATAATCACTAGATTATTTATTTATTTTCCATTTCATCATCATTTGCATTTTAATCATTTATTTTTAGTTTTAGTTTATTTCTTGTTTTGCTAGTAGTTTCGTAATAAACCAAATCCCCCCATTTTTATTTTAATCTAATTAATATAATAAAATCACGGTTTATACCACACTCCCTGTGGGATCGACCCTTGCTCGCCACTACTACTAGTTAGTAGGGGTAAGTTAGGAAAAATTATAAATTTAAATTTGCCGTGTAACAAAAAATCACAAAAACACAAATAAATGAAACAAACAATAAATACACAAATTTAAAAATCATATACACAATAATTCGAAAATAATCTTTAATCGACAATTCGACTCCAACAATTCAACAATCAAAGTCAAAATAATCCCTAAACATATTATATAAATTCACAATCATCACAATTTCACAATATGTCAACAGTATGTACAACAATCCCTTTGAGGCATTTTATCGAACACGTTCAAATCATATATTTCCAAACAAACTAAAAAACCCTAATCAATTTTCAAATAACCAATCAATTTATCACCAAACATATATAATCAAACAATCCATCAACATATTTCAATCCATAACTCAATACATTTTAAAACCCTAAATTTAGACCTAATTCAAAATTATTGAAACAATTGAAAAAATGAAAGAATAATAGAAGAAACGTACAGTTCCGGTTTCTCAATCTTTGTTGACCACAATTTCGTTAGTGAGGGAGACCAAAAGCTTTTCGCGGACCACCGGTCTCTTACCCCAAGAGCTTTCTTTTATTAATTCAAGAAAAATTTCTGGGCCATGGTTCTTCGAAGTATCGCGTGCTAGGTAGTTCCCAGTCGTTTCTATCCCCGGATCTGTACTAGCGTAGTTTAGGGGTAACCTAACTAAGAGTAGTACAGCCAAGGTAGCCGAACCCAAGCCTAGCGTCTCTGGTAGTTGCGTTTCCCCGGGTAGGTCAATAGCGCTACCCCGGTCGTGCCAAGAGGCAGTTGCTCAAGATCATCAGGTTGATAGAACTAAAGAGAATAATATGGTTGGGGGTGACTCTGATAAGGCAACTGACTCTAACTCTTAGAATTCCGTCTTTGATGATCCCAGCCCCTCCGTTTCGCATCCTGCCTTACGGGGTTGGTTAGGTTAGCTACCTTGCTTTCAGATACCATAGCTCCTATTCACTCCCTTCTTTTGCCCACCTTTTCCTTATTCCAAGAATAGGGAATGAATCGAAATGAGACGAAATAAAACGAAATGCGTCGAAATGAGAGGAAGTGTATCGTTCGGTCTACCCACCCGGGCATCCCTCTCTTGGGACAGGTCGAAGCTTAGGACTTTGTGTGGGTAGATTTCCTGCTCATCTATCGCACCCAAGATATAGAAGAGCTTGCCCCACTCGTGAGTAAATATTTCATAGTAGCCTCATTAGACCGTACATCTTTCTTTTTTCTGAAGCGCGCCATCCGGGTGGTGTATGAAGGGAGCCCTCGCCCAGACGGGATTGAAAGAACTCAAGCCAATACTTTTTAACGTAGTAGAGGCACGGTGGCAGTGCAGTAGGCGGCGACGGCGCGGCAGACGGCGACGGACGGATTTTTTTTTTTTTTTTTTTNTGAGTCCGTTATCTCTGGGGGCGTCTCGTTACCATTGGGCCGCACTAGGCTGTCGCTGAAAGTCTTGCGCAACATTTATTCTTATTTATCAATATCAAGATTTTTTATAGTATAAACATATAAACTATAAAGTATAACATATAAATTATAAATTGTATAAATTAAATTATATAGTATATATATATATATAATATACATTATATAGTATATATTGTATATTATTACATATAAACATATAAAGTCAATTATATTGTATTGTATATACATATATATTATAGTGAAATCGAAATCAAATTAGTGAAATCGAAGTCAAATTAGTACGATTAAAGTCAAATTAGTATAATTAAAGTCAACTATAGTGAAATCGAACTCAAATTAGTGGAATCGAAGTCAAATTAGTACGATTAAAGTCAAATTAGTATAATTAAAGTCAACTGTAGTGAAATCGAAGTAAAATTAGTACGATTAAAGTCAAATTTGTATAATTAAAGTCAACTATAGTGAAATCGAAATCAAATTAGTACGATTAAAGTCAAATTAGTACGATTAAAGTCAAATTAGTATAGTTAAAGTCAACTATAGTGAAATCGAAGTCAAATTAGTACGATTAAAGTCAAATTAGTATAATTAAAGTCAACTATAGTGAAATCGAACGAAAATTAGTGGAATCGAAGACAAATTAGTACGATTAAAGTCAAATTAGTATAATTAAAGTCAACTATAGTGAAATCGAAGTCAAATTAGTACGGTTAAAGTCAAATTAGTATAATTAAAGTCAACTATAGTGAAATCGAAATCAAATTAGTACGATTAAAGTCAAATTAGTACGATTAAAGTCAAATTAGTATAATTAAAGTCAACTATAGTGAAATCGAAGTCAAATTAGTACGATTAAAGTCAAATTAGTATAATTAAAGTTAACTATAGTGGGTTAATTTTTAACAGTCGAAAAAGTCCCTCTCTTAGGGTTACCGTCTCCCTTTGGAGTTCTTAGTTCCTGGAATAGGATTTAGGGTTCTTAACTTTTCTTGGTTGATTTGTTCAGTGTCTTTGTTTTCTTTCGGTCGTCCCTTTTGTATGTTCGTTTCTTTGTTGTCTTGTTTGTCTTTTCTTTTGTTTTCTTTACCTCTCTTTCAATTGCTGTGCTAGTGCGATTTACAGGGGATCTCGAGTTTGGATCAGATTGCTGCAATGGCAGACGAAGTGACAGCTCAATTACAGCGATTTCTTCTCTCGGATAGGGAGGAGACAGGAGTCATCTTGTCAGACACAGATATCGCTATCGGAGTTCAAGATTGTTCTCTGAGTCTGATTGGCAAAGTGTATGGGGAGAGGAAAGTTAACTTTGGAGGGTTAAAGATTACTCTGGGTAGTATTTGGGTTACGAAACAACCTGTGAATATTAGAAATCTGGGGAATAACACGTTTCAGTTCATCTTTGGTTGCGAGGAGGATAAGGAAAAGATACTGCAAGGCAAAACGTGGACTTTTGATGGTCAGTATCTCTTATTGAAGGCCTGGAATCCGGAGAAGACAGAGTTCTCTGAAGAGGAGGAGAAAGTGAAGTTATGGGTGCAACTGGTGAATTTGCCACTACATTGGATATCAGCTGAAGTAGGATTCAAGGTAGGGAAGCTAATTGGCCAGGTGCATGATGTGCTACTGCCTGGTGCAGGAATTAAGCAAGGCAGCATTATTAAAGTACTGGTGGAGCAGAAATTGAATGAGCCATTACTTCGAGGGGCCAAAATTACTTTCAGTAGTGACACAAAATGGATTGATTTCAGGTATGAGCAGTTGCAAAGTTTTTGTTTCTACTGTGGAAGAATTGGACATGGAGACAGGAATTGTCAAAAGAGAAAGGAAGATGTGAGCAGGAATATGTTGAATCTAGGGCAATTTGGTGATTGGATTAGAGCTTCTGTGGGTAGTAGTACTGAGGGTAGAAGCCATAAGAATACTTCTACTGATAGCCAGCCTTCAGGAAGTCCTTTTTCTAGACCTCAGAGTCCAACTCCAGAAGGGGGGGAGAGTAGGTTAGAAGGAAAGTCTTTGGGTTCTTCTAGTAAAGTTGGGGGGATAGGGGAAGGTAAGGAAGTTGCTTTAAATAATCCTTCTGTTCAAGTGAGTCCCAAACTTGTGGACAGATCTGAGATTGAAGGGAGTACCACTGTTCCTGAACCAGCTCCATCTATGCCTCCTCAACATCTCACAATTAGTGAGCTTGTGGAGGTGGATGTGCAAGATGAGCAGCCTAGTAAGGGAGGAAAAAAGGCTCAAAGGGGTTTTGTGAGAAAAGCCAGAACTACTAAACCAATAGGTGAGGGTATGCAGGTTGATAGTGTAGGTGTGTCTTTTAAGGATTGTGAGGGTAGGCAGACTTTAAAAAGAAGTATAGTCCATGAGGTAGAAAGTGGAGATTTAATCACTGAGAGTCTAGCTAAAAGGCTTAGAGGCAGTCAAAAAGGGAAAGAAGTCATGGGGGAGGAGGCCAACCCTAATTGGCCCCCAAAACCCTAATGAAAGTATGTGTGTGGAATTGTAGAGGTCTGGGAGGGCCCTCTACAATTTCCCAAATAAGAGAGATGTTAAGATCTCATCTTCCAGATTTTCTGTTTCTTTCAGAAACAAAAAAAAAGCATAATTTTGTTAATACAGTAGCTAATAAGTTAAAGTTAGGGGCGAATTGGACTAGTGTTGATCCTGTGGGTTATAGAGGGGGACTGTTCCTTTGTTGGTCCCCTAATATTACTATTTTGCAGTTGCACTGTTTTGATTTTTGTATTGAAGTGCAATTTCTTGTTGGTAGTTGTAGTACATCTCAATGGGCTATCTTTATTTATGCAAGTACTGATAATACCATGAGATTACTACAGTGGGAGTTTTTGTTGAGGCATAAGTTATCTTGGGGAGATCAGTGGTTTATAGGGGGAGACTTTAATGATATCATGAGCAATGATGAGAAGAAAGGGGGGATGATTAGGGAGGAGTCTAGTTTTGATGATTTTAGGAATTTTGTGAGAGGGATAAATGGGATGGAGCCTAAGACTGTAGGGCATCCTTTTACTTGGTCAAACCTTAGAAAAGGGAATGACTTTGTAGAAGAGAAGCTAGATAGATTTATCCTTTCTCCTAGTTGGGCTCTCCAATCACCAAATGCTCTAGTGAAACATGTTCCTCTCACATCTTCAGACCACAGCTTGATTATGTTGATTCAAAATCTTGAGGTGGAAAAGGGCAGGAAAAGGTTTTCTTTTGATAGTAGATGGGCCAGACAGGAGGGTTTCAAAGAATTGGTGGATACAGCATGGAATGATGAGGTTAGTGGGCCTGCTCTGATCAGATTGCAGAAGAGGATACGAAATGTTAGGATTGCCCTTCAGAAGTGGAAACCATCTCTGAGAACAAACTCAGCTAAAAGAATAGAGGAGTGCAAACAGAAGCTAACAGAGCTGAGTAGTCAAGGGGGTGACAGGAGTTGGGATGAATGGAATAAATATAAGGAAACTTTGAATCAGGCTTACAAAGATGAGGAGCTTTATTGGAAGGTTAAGTCCAGAGTTAGTTGGCTGAAGGAAGGGGACAGAAATACCAAGTTTTTTCAAGCTAGTGTTAAACAACGAAATCAGATCAATAGCTTGGATAACTTGGTGACTTCTGAAGGGGTGAAATGTATGAATATCCAGGAGACAGTGGATGAGGTCCAACAATATTTTGATAACCTGTTTAAGTCATCAAATCCCGAGGTGACCAGATGTAATCTGCGCGGCATTCCAATGACAATTACAGAAGAAATGAACTCTCAGCTCACAAAGCCAGTGGATGAAGAAGAAGTAAAAATGGCTGTTGTGGAAATGGATCCACACAAAGCACCTGGAGTGGATGGAATGTCACCAGCTTTTTTTCAAAGCTCTTGGTCAACTGTTAAACAGCAGCTATGTGCAGCAATTGAAAATTTCTTTCAGTATGGTAAACTCCCTTCTCAAATCAACCATACTTTAATTTCTTTGATTCCTAAGAAAAAGCATGCATCTTCTGTGGCTAACTTTAGGCCTATTAGTTTGTGTACAGTGTCTTATAGAATCATTGCAAAAATTCTTGCTAATAGGCTTAAGTCTGTTTTACATGTTTGTATTTCTCCAACTCAGTCAGCTTTTATTCCAGGTAGGCAAATTCTGGATAATGTCATCTTAGCAAATGAATGCATTCATTTTTTGAATTGCAAAAGAAAAGGAAAAGATAGATATATGGCTGTTAAGCTTGACATGTCCAAAGCATATGACCGGGTGGAATGGGAATTCTTAGCTAGAGTGTGTCAAAAGATGGGTTTCTGTAATAAATTTTTGTCCTGGATTATGGTTTGTGTTGGGTCTGCTTCTTTTTCTTTCAAAATCCAGGTTCAAGTCTTAGGATCAGTAGTTCCTTCTCGAGGTTTGAGGCAAGGGGACCCACTGTCCCCTTATTTGTTTATTATCTTATCAGAAGCATTTTCTAATCTGTTGAAGCAAGCCAGTCTTAATCATAGTCTAGTGGGCATCAAAATTGGGCAATATTCTCCAGTGTTAACTCATTTGTTTTTTGCAGATGACACTATTCTTTTCTGTAAAGCTTCTATTGATCAAGCTGAAGTGTTAATGCATATTTTATCTGAGTATGGGATTTCATCTGGGCAGGTAGTCAATTTAGCTAAGTCTTCAGTTTTTTTCTCTAAGAATGTCCTTGATTCTGAGGGGGCTGATATTTGTGGGATCCTGAATGGTATTTCTTGTGTTTCCTCTGCAAAACATCTGGGGCTTCCTTTGGGTTTAGGTAAATCTAAGAGAGAGACTTTCAGATATATAAATGAGAGTGTAAAAAAAAGAGTGAATCAGTGGAAACACAAATTTCTGAGTGAAGCAGGGAGAGAGCTTTTAGTGAAAACAGTGCTGAATGCATTACCTGTGTATGTGATGGGCTGTTTTAAATTATTTGTAACAGTTTGTTATGAGATGGCCAGGTCTTTTGCTTCTTTCTATTGGGGTCAGACAGAGAAGGGGTTGGACAAGATTCATTGGGCAGCTTGGAATTTACTGGCAAAGGACAAAGAAGAGGGAGGGTTAGGCTTCAGAAACTTGGTGAATTTCAATAAGGCTCTAATCATGAAGCAGCTATGGAGACTAATTACCAAACCTAATCTGCTCCTTAGCAGGGTGTTAAAGGGTAAGTATTTCCATAACTCTCATTTATTCAAAGTGCAAAAAAGGAACACTGACTCATGGTTGTGGAAAGGGTGGATGGATGTGATGAAGGATTTTAAGCAGGGGGTTAGATTTAGGGTTGGTGATGGACAGAAAATTTCAGTTTGGGAGTCCCCATGGGTGCCTAAACTGGATAACTTCATACCTACTTGCATGTTTGAGAGAGATAAACAGAAACTTTCTGTAGTGAGTGAACTTATGCTGAGGGAAAGGAAAGAATGGGATAAGGAGCTGATTTGCCAAACTTTCAATCCTTTTGAAGCTAAGGCAATTCTAGAAATTCATCTTAGTCACTTAGCAAATAAGGATACACTGATTTGGCATGGGGATAAAAAGGGAATGTTTTCAGTTAGAGCTGCTTATGCTACATTACAGCAGCTAGAAGTAGATAGGATGGGAAGGGTAGGAACAAGCAGTGGAGGAAATCAGAATAAGAGAATGTGGGAGCAGACATGGAAATTACCTCTTCAACCAAAACTTAGGAATTTCATGTGGAGAATGTACAATGGTTTCTTGAGTACCAATATTCAGTTACTGAAGAAAGGGATCAAAGTGGACTCAAGGTGCAGATTATGTGATGAGGGGCAGATCTGCTGGAAGATGCTTGGGGTTGAATGGGAGGAGTTTCAAAAGGAAGGGATGAAGTTGCAAGACTGGTGGTGGACTGTAACAAATGCACCAAAAAGTAAAACACTGAGAGATAGAATTACCATTTCTGTTTGCTTGCTCTGGAGGGTATGGAAAGCAAGAAATAATCTGGTTTTTAGAGGAACACCATTTGAGGAAAGAGAAGTAGTAACTAGGGCCAAAAAGGACTGGTTGGAAAGCTTGGGTGAGCACGTGGAGGGTGTGAGTAGACATGTTTTGCAGAATACTGAACCACAGTTAGAAGATTTTTCCAAGGGGGTAGGACTAGTGATGTTCACTGTCAGTGCCCTAACTTCTTCTGTTGGGAAGGTAGGAATTGGAGGAGTGGCAAGCCTTCATGACAATGAAGTTTTTGCAGGACAAGAGATGTTTGAGTGGGCTGCAAATGAAGAAGAAGCTTGGTTATTGGCAGTGAGATGGCAATTGGAGAAGGCTGAGGCAGAAGGTTGGGACAAGCTGAACTGTTTTATCAATTCAAAAAGGATAGTTTCACAACTGAATGATTTGTTTAATTTTCCTTTTTCAATTTGTAATGTTGCTGCTGATATTTATAGGATTAAATCTAGTTTTTCTGTTTGTAATTTTTGTTTTGGACCTTTGTGTTCTAGGAGTAATAGGTTAGCCATGTTGGCTTTGGAGGGAAACAAGTGATTTGTTGTTCCCGTGGACTTGTAATCAGTTGATTACCCGTTTGTATATTTTGAGGTTTAATTATATTTGTTTTCTGGAAAAAAAAAAAAAAAAAGTTAACTATAGTGAAATCGAAATCAAATTAGTACGATTGAAGTCAAATTAGTACGATTAAAGTCAAATTAGTATAATTAAAGTCAACTATAGTGAAATCGAAGTCAAATTAGTACGATTAAAGTAAAATTAGTATAATTAAAGTCAACTATAGTGAAATCGAAATCAAATTAGTACGATTAAAGTCAAATTAGTACGATTAAAGTCAAATTAGTATAATTAAAGTCAACTATAGTGAAATCGAAATCAAATTAGTACGATTAAAGTCAAATTAGTATAATTAAAGTCAAATATAGTGAAATCGAAATCAAATTAGTACGATTAAAGTCAAATTAGTATAATTAAAGTCAAATTAGTATAATTTAAGTCAACTATAGTGAAATCGAAATCAAATTAGTACGATTAAAGTCAAATTAGTACGATTAAAGTCAAATTAGTATAATTAAAGTCAACTATAGTGAAATCGAAATCAAATTAGTACGATTAAAGTCAAATTAGTACGATTAAAGTCAACTATAGTGAAATCGAAATCAAATTAGTACGATTAAAGTCAAATTAGTACGATTAAAGTTAAATTAGTATAATTAAAGTCAACTATAGTGAAATCGAAGTCAAATTAGTACGATTAAAGTCAAATTAGTATAATTAAAGTCAACTATAGTGAAATCGAAATCAAATTTGTACGATTAAAGTCAAATTAGTATAATTAAAGTCAACTATAGTGAAATCGAAATCAAATTAGTACGATTAAAGTCAAATTAGTACGATTAAAGTCAAATTAGTATAATTAAAGTCAACTATAGTGAAATCGAAGTCAAATTAGTACGATTAAAGTCAAATTAGTATAATTAAAGTCAACTATAGTGAAATCGAAATCAAATTAGTACGATTAAAGTCAAATTAGTACGATTAAAGTCAAATTAGTATAATTAAAGTCAACTATAGTGAAATCGAAGTCAAATTAGTATGATTAAAGTCAAATTAGTATAATTAAAGTCAATTATAGTGAAATCAAATTCAAATTAGTACGATTAAAGTCAAATTAGTATAACTAAAGTCAACTATAGTGAAATTGAAATCAAATTAGTACGATTAAAGTCAAATTAGTAAAATTAAAGTCAACTATAGTGAAATCGAAGTCAAATTAGTACGATTAAAGTCAAATTAGTATAATTAGAGTCAACTATAGTGAAATCGAAATCAAATTAGTACGATTAAAGTCAAATTAGTATAATTAAAGTCAACTATAGTGAAATCGAAATCAAATTAGTACGATTAAAGTCAAATTAGTATAATTAAAGTCAACTATAGTGAAATCGAAGTCAAATTAGTACGATTAAAGTCAAATTAGTATAATTAAAGTCAACTATAGTGAAATCGAAATCAAATTAGTACGATTAAAGTCAAATTAGTATAATTAAAGTCAACTATAGTGAAATCGAAATCAAATTAGTACGGTTAAAGTCAAATTAGTACGATTAAAGTCAGATTAGTATAATTAAAGTCAACTATAGTGAAATCGAAATCAAATTAGTACGATTAAAGTCAAATTAGTACGATTAAAGTCAAATTAGTATAATTAAAGTCAAATATAGTGAAATCGAAATCAAATTAGTGAAATCGAACTCAAATTAGTGAAATCGAACTCGAATTAGTACAGGTTTGGTGTTCCCAAGGTGTTGTTGTCCGACAATGGAACACAATTCAATGGCAAACGAATTCGAGCATGGTGCGAAGAGATGAAGATCGAGCAGCATTTCGCATTGGTCGCTCATCCGCAAGCCAATGGACAAGTCGAGGTGACCAACAGAATCATACTGAATGGCCTAAAAATGAGACTAGAGAAGGCATCGGGTTGATGAGCTCACTTCAGTACTTTGGGCATATCGAACAACGCCAAGGTCGACCACGGAGAAACGCCATTCAATCTGGTTTATGGCATGGAGGCACTGCTCTCGGTCGAGATCGAGGTCCAATCCTAGAGATCGAGCACATATGACCCAGAACAGAACGAGAACTTGATGATGGCGGCCCTCGACACAATCGCAGAACTTCGAGAGCGTGCCTTGATCAGGGTCGAGGCGTACAAGCAAAGGATGTGAGAAACACATGACAGAAAAGTGAAGGTCAG